GATTATTTTTTCTAAAGAAATCATTGCAGAACCACATTGATACTTTGCTAATTTATAATAATTGTACAATACAATATTTATACATCAATTTAATACATGTTTAAACAAAAACATAAAAGAATTTTAATGTAAAATAATAGTGTCATTCCATTTAATACAGTAAATATTTAAATTAATAGTAATAATAATTATTATTAGTCTGTTTACATTTTACTCAATAACACCTTCCCTGTCAGTTTACCCCACAATCCTTCCCGGTACCATCTCTCCTTCTCCACTGAGCACGTGGGGATCTCCTTGGGTTCCCTCCACCCTGACACAATAAGTTTCCTCGAGGCTAGGTGCATCCTCAGTCACTGAAGCCTGACTGGTAGCCCAGATAAAAGAACATATCCCACACACAGGCAACAGCTTTTGGGACAGACCCTGTTCCCTTCATGTGGAGCCCACATGAAGACCAAGCTGCACATGTGCTACATATATGAGGAGAGGTCTAGATTCAGTCCGTGTAAATACTTTGGTTGGTAGTTCAGTTTCTGAAATCCCCACATTTCTAGGTTAATTAACTCTGTTGGTTACCTGTGGAGTTCCTATCCTTTTAGAAGCCAAATAATTTTTCTATTCTTTCATAAGAGTCCCCAAACACCATCCAGTGTTTGGCTGTGGGTGTCTGTACCAGTCTGAGTTAGCAAGTGGATAGAACCTCTCAAGCAGAGGACAACTGTGCTAGACTCCTGACTGTGAGCATAACTGAGCATCATCAATAGTGTCAGGGATTGTTTTTTTTTTTTTTTTTTTTTGCCATGGAATGAGTTTCAAGTTGGGCATGTTTTGGGCTGTTCCCCAGTCTCTGCTTTATACACAATCCCTGCATTTCTTGTAGACAGGATAAGTTTAGGGATGAAAGTTTTATGAGTGTGTTGGTGGCCCTATAGCACCATCAGATCTCCTTCCTGGCCACAGGGCAAAGTCTAACCAGGCTTCATATCCCTAATGCTGTGAGTCACAGTGAAGGATATACCCATTAATTTTTGGGGCCTGCCCTATCCCAAGTCTCTGTCTCTTCCAGGAGATGACCCCTACCTCCCAATCAGTTGCACATTTCCATTCATTTTTATGGCCATCTGGCCATCCCCCTTGCTGTTCCCCATACCTCACCCCCAGATCCTGGACTCCCCTCACAACTCCCTGTCCTACCCAGTTCCCTCCCTCCTTTTGCCTGCTAAGACCATTCTACTCCTTCCTCCAAGTGAGATGCTAGCATCATTTCTTGTACCTTCCTTCCTGTCCAGCCTCCTTGGGTCTATATACTACAGCATGGGAATCCTGTATTTCATAGCTAATATCAACTAAAAAGTGAGTACCTATCAAGTGTGTCTTTTTGGAACTGGCTTACCTCACTCAGGATGATATTCTCAAGATCGATTCAATTCCTTGCAAAATTCATGTATTTGTTTTTCATGGCTGAATAGAATTTTATTTTGTAGATGTACCACATTTTCATTATTCATTCTTCAGTTGATGGACAATTCTCTAGGTTATTTTCAGTTCCTTGTTATTATGAATAAAACTGCTATAAACATAGTTGAACAGCTGTCTTTATGGGACGGTGTAGGATCCTTTGGGTATATACCTGGGAGTGATATATCTGAGTCATGAGGAAGAATTATTCCCAAAGTTCTGAGAGATTGCCAAGTTGATTTCCAAAGTTATTGTGCAAGTTGCATGCCCAGTAGTAAGGAACGTGTGTTCCCTTGCTCCACATCCTCACGAGCATGTACGGTCACTTGAGTTTTTGATCTAAGGCAATTTGACTGGTAGTAGATGGGATCTCAGAGTTATTTTGAATTGCATTTTACTAGTTACTAAGGACTTTTAGTATTTAGCTAAGTGCTTCTAGACTATTGGAGATTCTTGTGCTGAGAATTCTGTGTTTAGCTAATCCTTAGAAGATACAATAGAAGAAATCGATACATTCAAAAAATTTGAAATCTAAACAATTTCCAACACAAAACGTCCAGGATAACTGGGATACCATGAAAAGGACTAATTTAAGAATAAGAGAAATAGAAGAAGGTGAAGATTTCTTGCTCCAAACCCAGAAAATATTTTCAACAGAATTATAGAAGAAAACTTTCCAACCTAAAGAAAGAGGTGCATGTAAATCTAAATGAATCTTATAGAACATAAATTAGACTGAACCAGAAAAGAAAGTCTTCCTGCTAATAATCAAAATGCAAAATATACTGAGCAAAGAAAGAATATTAAAAGCTGCAAGGGAAAATGGGCAGGTAACACATAAAGGCAGACCTATCAGAATTACACAGAGATTCTAAAAATTAGAAAGGGCTTGGCAGATATAATGAAACCTCTAAAATACCACAGATGCCAACCTAGTCTACAATACTCAGCAAAATTCTCAACCACCATAGACGAAGAAAAGAAAATATTTCAAGACAGATCCAAATTCAAAGAATATCTGTCTGAAAATCTAGACTTGTTAAAAATACTAGAAGGAAAGTTCTAATTCAAGGATAATAAGTACATTCAAGAAAACACAAGAAAAAAAGTAATTCCATACAAAGGAAAACAAGGGGACACATATACACACACACACACACACACACACTCACCATAATTAAATTTAATCGCACACATATTTTAAGATGTGATCTATCACTTAATGATGTCTAATCATGCTACTCAAATGTCATATGTAAGACACCCTAAATACTTCCAAATACCTCCGCACTTCTCCTCAGTTCTGTCACTTCTGGATGTAAAGTAGGGAAAGTTCCTGTCTGGAGCATGGACCTTAATGGATAGCATTCCAAAAAAGCAAATTTATTCTTATGACTTTTTTTTAAGACAGGCCATTACTTCCCATATGCTTATGTAGCATTCCAGAATGCATAATTGAATAATGGCATAGAACATCAGAAATTGTTTAATGGTCCATGAATTTTATGGGCCTTTAGCAGGACAATTGTGACTTCAAGGACAGGCTTGGTTATATCATGAGACTTGGTCTAAGAAACACAGTCACAATTCATGTTCTGAACACAGTATCTTAGCACACCTGAAGGTTTTATTTTAAATAACTTATTGAACTAACATCAGTTTTGATATAAATGTGCTACTAGTAGGAAGTCACTTTAGAAAAGGAACATGGTACAACTGAGCATTGGGAGGACAGGACAGCAAAGAATGACACAGGGATACTGGGAACTTTCCTGTTTGTTCTTCTCTCATCAAATAGACAGAAATTTCATCATAAGGTGTGTTGTTTCCTTTACAGAGGTCCCTTCAGCTCCTTATTACTCCAGGCAATTACTGGATAGGATTGTCATATGATAAAGAAAAAGAGGAACAGGCATGGATTGACAGTGGCCCATCTAAACTGTAAGTTTCTGAACCCTCCAGACTCTAACACTGGTGTGGGAATTGGAAGGATTGTGTGCAAAGGTTTTATCTCTCATTTCACATGGCTTTCTTTATTTTTCATGGACCTCATGAGTAAGGACAAGTTGCATAAGTTAGTCTATGAGCAAGTGTTACAGATGGAAGATGTATGGTCTAGGAGCTGACCAAAAGTGATTTAATACTGCATACATCTCAGAACCGTGTATTCTAAGATGCACAGGGCACTACCAAGTAAACTACTTGAGATGGTTTGAAGTGACTGAATCATCATGACAAGTAGAATGAGCTTGAGACTCTCTGACATTCATGTGACATTTTTTACTGTTGTAAGTTTATATAATTGTTGATTAGCTATAAATATGAGACCATGTTTATATACGTACATACATATGTATACTTAACTTCCATTTCAAGTTGTATAAACTCCAAGTTTTCTGTTTATTTATAATCTGGTAGGAAACTGTCCATTGATTATTTTATTAATACTATTTCTTTTTCTTGAGTATCTCACATACCTAAAATATGATCATGTTATTCCCGCACCACCCCAAAAGCTTCCTCTGCATAAGTTCTAATATGTGCCCAGCTAACTATGTCTCTATAGTTAACTATCCACAGGCGCATGGTTGCAAGCTATCCACTGGAGATAAGAAATATACTAGTGGCCACATTCTGAAAACAAATTGAATCTTTTTCTAGCAGTAGTCACCTAACAATGGTGATTTCTTATAATGTAAAGCACATTTTCCCATCTTTGCAGAAACTATCTTGTCAAGAAGGCTGCATTTCACAGAGCTCTTTCCATTCTCTATGTCTTACATTCTTTCTATGTCCTCTTACCTGCTGTTCCCTGTGTCTTGCTGATGGTATAGAGAGGAAAATTTGATATAGATGTCTCCTTTAGGGATGAGCACATATTCTCTTCTCTTAAGCTTAAGCACTTTGACTAATTCTGCCTCTCTGCACTGAATTCTCTCCATTGTAAAACAAGCTTCTTTGAGGGAACATGAGGGTAACCCAGGTATAGGCCATAACTATAAATGTTAAGAATGCAATGTAACCTCTGAACACTTAGCAGAGTGGTTTTAAGTGTTTCCTACATAGGTCCTGGACCACCCTCAATCTTATGCTTTTGATTTGGATTTCAATACCACTCATGATTTCCTTGTGGTAAAGGCCACAGATCCAATAAGAAAGCATCTATTTATTCTATAATAATGGTAATCCTGGACACATCATACCTAGCATGTCAGCATCACTGGATGCAGAGCAGGGTCCAGTGCAGGATAGGATGCCTCCAATCCTTTCTCTCCTCCAACCTGCAAAAGAACCTTGTCATTTTGAAAGCCAGCCCAGGGAAAGATATTTTGATATTGGTTTGAGATTGACTTCTCTTGTATTAATGTCAAAGTGTAGAGTATCTTCAGCTATAGGGCCTTATCAAGTCTTTATGGTAATCAAGGGCAGTAGCAATATCCTGTGCATTTATTTTTGTGTCATATACACATATGTGTTCAAGCTCATGCCCAGTCTGATGCTTACCCTGAATTTCTGCAATGATGGACAATGATGTGGAAGTTTTAGCAAACGAAATCCTTTTCTTCCCCAAGTTGCTTTGGTCACAGTGTTTTATCACAGCAATACAAACCATCAAACTAAAACAGTAAAATTTTGTAACCTTCTAAAGTTGTTTCCTGCCCCTTGCCTGAAAACCTAGTCCAGGCAAACAGACATGTGCTCTCTTGTACTGTTAATGAGTGTGGCCTAGTGCAAAGTTTCATATACTCTGCACAGATTTGTGACTCTGTATTTCTCTGCATCTTTCCATATTATTGTTATCACTAAGGTGTTTTAGCTAAATGAAGATGTTTTCTAAGATGGAGTTTCATTATTTTACTTACAAAGCACTTTTGTACTGAACATAAATATTCCACAATCCTATTACTTTTATTTGTTCATATACTATTTGTTTGTTGTTCTGCTACCTAGACTAGGCTGTCCCAGATTTCACAATCCTTCTGTTTTTGTGACCATTTCCTCTGGGTTATAATGTATTTTTTTATTTAGCTGCATATTTTAACAGAGGAGTGATTGTGGCCTCTATTATAACATCCCACAGAAATAAGAGTTGTGTTGCACACAGGCAATTCAGGGGATGACCATGTTTCTGTGAATCCATTAGCTATGAGGTAGGGAAGAAAAAAGGGAAATAGTCCAAAACATTAGTTACAAGCCCTCAGCTTGTCACTATATTTCAAATCTCCCCTTTCTTCTTAAAACACAAGCGTAAGGCATTGTTCTGTGTACTACACACATCTGGTTTACTATTACCCTATTATTTTATTGACAAAATATAAATGTGAAAGCAGGTTTAGGTAAAATAATTCTTTGGATATATTGAAAATCCAATTTACCTGCTGTCCATATAATTGTCAGTATGAAATCAGATAGAAACTTTTTATGTGATCCTGAGACCATTTCTTTTCAATATTGTTAGAGAAAACAAAACCTTTTGGTAGTGAACTTATGATTAATAGTCCTGTATTCTGTATACCTTGGCCAATGGAATTTTTAAAATCATGACTTATTTCTATGACTGTTATAAATTAAATAGTAACCCATTGTTGTTTTTGTTCTCCAGTGCCTTGAACATAACGAAAGCCAATGTAAATCGTGAAAGATGTATGTTCTTATCTAAAACAAGATTAGAAAAGAGTAAATGTGAAGATTCCTACCACTGTATTTGTGAGAAGAGACTGACTGGATAAATTCCCTGATTGACTCTCCAACAAGATTTTCAGGTAAAAATGAAATATGTTGATTCTCATTTGCTTCCTGTAATAATTTGTGATGGCTTAAAAACAAGTGCTCTGTTCACAGGACTTAGTACATTGTGTAAACAGAGAGATGAGCTGGAAGAGGTTGGAAATGTTCTCTGGAATCTGATGTGACAGAGCAGAGGCTTCTTACTTCCTGGTGGAAGTGGGACAAATCTCTGGTACATGGACACACTCTGCCCTAAAGCTTCCAAGACTCTCCTCTTTCTGCTTTCCTGAACTGTTATGGAATCTAATAAAGCACCCCAATAAACACCCTGAGTATTTCATTATGATTAGAATATATCTTATTATGGGAAAAACATGGGGGGGGGAGTGCCCCGGGCCTGCAAAGCAGCAACCTACAGACAGGTGGGTGGCGGAGTCCCTCAGTCTTTCCCAGTGGAAGGTTCCCACACACACAAGAAAGTCCAAGGTTCCAGAGACTAGAAGTTTGGAGGTGGCAGGCCCAAATAGACACCTGGACTGTGTTTTCAAAGAGTAGTTTATTGTTCATGGTGTGATAGTTGGATCTGGATGTGTGTGTGCCCCCCCCCCCACAAATGCCAGGGGAAGGCTGGTTTAAATAGGGAGGGGAAAGAGGGGAGGGAATAACTCAATTAGCTATGCCCCCTACCTTTAGATAACTCATTAATATGAAAATCTCTCGAGGTGGAGGCCTGTAAGTCACGCCTTCTATCTGTGTCTTACATGACTGATGGTGCAGGTTAAATGTAGATTAGACTGAGTGTCAGGCCCTGGGTTCTGGGTGTATGGCCTAACACCTACCGTCTCCGGGGGTTCCAGGCCCATACCAACCCAAGAACAAAGATACCTTTCCACAGCCCAACATCTTATTTGAAAGCATACTTAAGAGATAGAATGTAGTTGTAGGTTTTGGTTTCTCATTTGTTATTCAAGTAGATTTTGTTTGTTTCGCTTTGTTTCATGTAGAAGTTTTTCTCATTGTTATAAACATTCCTTTTAGTCATAAAATATAATTTCTAGTTTGGTGAACAGTTGCAAGTATAGTTCAAGGGAATGCTGATTATATTTTATTCAAGGCATCAGTTGTCCTACTGACCTGCTTTGATCTATCTCTGGTGAGTTGAGGCCTTATAGAAGTGGTGGAAATAATTGAAGTTGGAGAGATGTAGTGGCTTAAAATGTGATACTGGCAATTAGGAGGCTCAGACATGATTGCTGAAAAATAAATATAGTGAGAGCCTATGTCATAGAACCAAACAAACCAAACCAAATCAAGACACACATGTTCCATAATACTTTCCAAGGACAACACTTTATATTATACAACTGTACCCGAATGATCAAACTCAGCACAATTAGAATTGATACAATAACATGTTCTAATCTAGGATATATGTACCTATCCACTGACTGGATAATGTCACTCTAGGTAATGTTGCTTCCTCCATGTTCAGGTTACTGTGCATTCAGTGATGGTGTCTGTGATGGTGTTTTTTTTGTTTTGTTTTATTTTTTTGTTTTGTTTTTTTGGGTTTTTTTTTTTTTTTTTTTTTTTTTTTTTGTCCTGAGTAGGTTTTTAAGTTTTCTGGTGGTTCGTTTTGATATTAACTTTTGTTTGTTTGATTGTTTGGTTGGTTG